ACGATCGGCCCGGCAACGTGCGGCGCGAAGCAGCTGGAGGCGTTGGCTGTAGGCGGAATGAACGTGGCTCGGATCAATATGTGCCATGGCACGCGCGAGTGGCATCGAGAAGTGATACAGCGGGTCAGGAACTTGAATGAGGAGAAGGGTTATGCGGTGGCAGTTATGATGGACACAGAGGGGAGTGAAATTCACATGGGGGATCTGGGTGGCGCCTCCTCTGCCAAAGCCGAGGTACTGTAAATCTATGGAGCTTGGACTTTCTTTTCTTTTTTCGTTTTTAGCATTTTTATCTATTTTTTAAAAAAAATAAATATCCGATGGAGTTAGCTGTATCATATAATTATAGGAAATTTTAATCTGCAAAGATTGCAAGCTTTTTGTTTTTCAATTTGGATATGATCTATGGGTTTATTATGTTTCTAAAAGATTTGATTTTTAGTTACATATTCCGTAAGACAACCTACTAGGCAATTTAGAATTGATTGAATAGATATGGAAATGAAGGATAAACTCAACTTGTAAACTAAGCCACAAACTGACTAAGCTCATGCCTCAAGAGATGGTTGAGCTCGTTCCAGCTAACTCACTGTCTTGAAAGCTAGGAGATTGAAGAGGAATTTACATAGGTGATTGCTACCTCAGAACCATGGCTAGCAACTCATGCTACATGCCATCCAACCTCAACAAATGGTCTGACCTGACATAAAAAGAACAATTTAGACTTGCGCGATTTTTTGAACTCAAGAACGCCGTGACATTTCAAAATCTTCCAAATTGATGTAGCTAAGAAGGCTGAAGTCAGCAGGTGCACCAAGCCATGAAGCTGATCTTGTGCTTTAAGAGGTGGTTGAGCTCATTCCTCAAGAATGGCTGAGCTGATCAGATAAGCGTGCCAGACACGTAACTAGCACTCACTTCCAGTTCCATAAAAGCATGTCAATCTGTATTCCAGCCAATAAGAACTTAATGAATAATAAGTAATCGCCAGGTACTAGTACTACCCAATGAAGTTATTGTCAGCCCCAAACCTAACAATTTCCTATAAGTACAAGGTGCCAAGTATTTCCAGGAAGCAATCCTTACTATTTAAATCTAAAACTCTGACAAATTTGCCTAAATTAGGAATCAGAGTTTCTTTGACCGCTGCATATTCCCTTTGTACAATGGCTGACCAGGCTGAATGAACTTACCATTTTGCGACAATTTTGGTGAGCAATTATTCAGATGTTGGCTGTTAGGAAAAAGCTGAGGAATACTTGAACGAGAAATAGTATATAGTTTGCGTGGATTAATTGTATATTTGATTATACAATTTTAATGTTGATTTTATTTTTCACTTTTCCCAGGGTCAAGTTAATGGGTTTGTTTCAGTTCCATATAAGGCCTTTTGATAGCAGTAAATAAAGACTCTAGTTAGTATAATATAAGAAATTTTTAAGGTGCCTTAAGCATCAAAATCGAAATATATTTGATTATTTATAAGAGGAAGCTACATAATTTTTTGCCACACAATATGAAAGACCAAGTTTGTTCAACTGTTATTATTATGTCTACGTAAACCTGTTTATTGATAATTATGAGCCCATCAATATCTCTGAAAGTCTTCAAAAAATAGTTGAGATCCATTTTTGAGAAGGGAGTGAGATTCACATGGTGGATAATATGACTCCTCCTCTGAAAGACATGTAAACCTTTATGAAAGAGAAGCTGGGAATTGTTTCTCATTATGTATTTGAATAGAGAATTTTACTATTCAGTGAAATCTGAGTTTTGCTTATGGACGAAAATATACTACCGGAGTTTACAAATAAATCCTTTAGCTTGTCATTTTTCGAAGAGGAAATGCTAAGGTTCATATAAGAATATGCCTTTTCACACCTATAATTCATTTGTAGGCTTATAACAGTTATGTTTATGTCCTGTCAGTTTGGCATATTCTATATTGTGTCAATTGGGAACTTGAGACTATCTATGTTGTGTTACAATCAAATGCTTGTCACCCGTGGCATATAATATGTAATACTTGTCAGAAAGGGGAGAAATCTGTACAATATCTGAGGATGCTTTATGTTTATGGCAATATATTTTCATGTTTAGACTTTTGGAAAAGGAAACAATAAACCCTTACAGTTATGGTGCATTATTCCAATAATAGACTGTATGCCCAAATGATGAGCAAATGGGAAATTTATGCATGAAAGCCTGGTGAGGTGCTTTTAGTTTTGGACCTTTTATTTCCTTCCGACTTTTGAGGGAAAAAATTGGAAAAACAGAATAATTTAAGAAGCGGTCAAGTTTGTTAAGAAAAATAGCTTAATGTAAAATGTAAGTGAGAAAAACCTTCAGTTTGATGAAAAAGTCGAACAAGAAATTCAAATTTTTAGTGAAATAATGAGAAGCAATTGAGTTAATGTCTGTTGTTCATTGATGAGGGAGCCTTTCTCAAGGATACTATCAATTATGGGGATCTATCTGATGGTATTAATTATAATGTATCAATTGAATATCCCTCGAGTTTAATTTATATCATATTTCCCTCATTTTCACTTCAATTTATATCATTATATAGATGCCATTCCAAAATGATTGAAGTGGTGGTAATTTGAATTTGTGGGCGAAGATGGTAAGGATGAGATCCTCCATCATCCTCATTCAGCATAAACAAAAACAAGAAACCCCTTCTTTTGCATTATCTCGTTCCATGTTATTGCCCCGCCCCGTTTTTTGTAATATATTTAAATGAAATTAAAAATTCCTTTTCTTCCTTTTTATTTTATAAACTCACGTTGACCCGTAACTCCTAAGATAAATTAATTATAATCTGTAGAGCCTATTCATTTTTGCTGTACAACATTTTGATATATTTGTTTGAAACTTATTTGAAAGTCTGTCTTGGGGAGATGGGATGTATGCTCTTCGTTTGGACTTCGAAGAAGCAACAAAGGAAAATATCTTCCACATTGCCAACTTGAAAAATCTATTTTACAATCTCTTGTTTGAAGTTCAACTTTATGAATTGTGTTTCTTATGCAGGATGGTGAAATATGGACTTTTAGTGTTCGAGCTTTTGATTCACCTCTACCTGAACGCACTATTAATGTGAATTATGGTGGCTTTGCTGAGGGTATGAAGCATATATATTTAAATGAATGTGCTGAAAATAGTATATTTCATGTTAACTAAGTTGGGACCGGATTCTTACATGACAGATGTGGAAGTGGGTGATGAACTTCTAGTAGATGGTGGAATGGTGAGGTTTGAGGTGGTTGAGAAAATTGGTCCAGATGTCAAGTGTCGCTGTACAGATCCTGGACTTATGTTACCTCGAGCTAATCTTACCTTTTGGCGTGATGGGAGCTTAGTACGGGAACGCAATGCAATGCTCCCTACTATTTCCTCTAAGGTTTATACTCGCCATCCATCTGTGCTTTCTTCTAAAATTTTCTTTCGTCCAAAGTTAACAGTTGAAATCTATATGTTCTTCCAAACGTTGAGTTTTCCAACTGAAGCTTTGGTTTATCATAAATGGGTCCAAGAGAGGCCTTCACTTAATTCACTACTACCTCTCTGCACAAAGTTCAAGAAAAGTCACTGCTTTCTCTTTTGACACCTCACGACCGGTATTACAAATCTCAACGATGTAAATTGAAATTTATTTTTCCCCGGATGGTGACATTCTTTGAAGGACATAAAAAGTAGTATGTCAAACAATGTGAGATGGCAGGAGTACTTGCTAAAAAGGTATATTATAATTTACTTTTGTTTAGTAATTGAATATTGCTTTGTTACCCCTACTTTTCAGCTCAAGTATTTTATGTTCAAAACTATGAGTGCAACACCTTCATTAGCCGTGAGAGAAAAATTGCTAGATTTTCATTGGTGATCTGGTATCTCATAAAGAAATGTTTGTTTTCAATATAATGATTCGTCTCCTCAAAGCTATTGAACCTCCTCCTTGCATGTGTGCATATGCTTTTACAAGGATTCTGAGTTCAGCTCAAGTATTATATGTTCAAAACTATGAGTGCAACACCTTCATTAGCCGTGAGAGAAAAATTGCTAGATTTTCATTGGTGATCTGGTATCTCATAAAGAAATGTTTGTTTTCAATATAATGATTCGTCTCCTCAAAGCTATTGAACCTCCTCCTTGCATGTGTGCATATGCTTTTACAAGGATTTTGAGTTGACTCAGCACAAATTAAGGAAGAAGACATATTTTGATTTAGTGTACCTTTAATTCTGCCATCCAGTGTTTCTTCCAGCTTCGGAAATCTACTTCTCAACATGTTTTTATTGGATGCCTCAAGTTATATTGCATTGACTTACCACTTCTTGTTATGTATTTTTTTATTTTTATTTTATTATTATTATTTTTTACTATGGATCATTAGTAATAGCTGTCTAGGGTAGATAAACAACTTTCAGCCTGTTTGTTAACTGGGTGATTCGTCAACTAACCTTAGGATCTATTAGATATCAGAATTTGGAAAGAAATATGAATGGTCACCATTGTTTTTGCTGAATGTTATACATCTAAAAGAGTTAAATGCAACTCAGGTTTATTGCTGACCAATAAACTATACCTTGAAGTGCCTGAAATTGGCTAGTGAATAGTATCCGTTCTTCAATCCTTCAATTTTGTCATTGACTTATTGTGCCTGTTGTTTCTTCATTTTTAGGTTACTTCACAAACTTGTTTGTGCTTATTCTGCCCTTTTTGAGACACATTATGCCCTTGTTTGAGCCCCATTCTTCTAAAAATTCATATTTTCAAAACTCATATTCCTACCACACTTTTTTCAATAAAATAATATTACACTCAAACCCAAAATTTTTCCTTAATTTTTAACCACGCATTTTCTATCAATCTACTATTCAAAATGCATCCCCCCCCCCCCCCAACCCCAAAAATGGGGCTCAAACAAGGGCTATACGTGTGAACTTTTACAGTTACACTCAACATTGAGCATTATGTTACTTCAGGATTGGTTGGACATCGATTTCGGGATTGCTGAGGGTGTTGAATTTATTGCTATATCATTTGTCAAGTCTGCTGAAGTAATAAAGCATCTTAAGAGCTATATTAAAGCACGTGCTCGAGATGGGTAAGTTGCATATATTTGGCAATAAACTGACTATTCATTGCAAAGATCAAGCCTACTTCCCCTTGTTGGGTGGGCATTTTTCAGAATAACATTGGGCGGCTTTGTAATTCATCATTTTTGCTACTGCACATCATCCCCCCGCCCCCCCCAAAAAAAAAAAAAAAAAAAAAAAACGGTGAGTTGGAAACCACCTTAGTCCCCAAAATTTCATCATTTTAATATATATTACATACATTTTTCTTTTTCATGTTGCACCTACTGAGATATCCCCACGAACACACAAGCAAAAAAGCTATCCAATTTATGCTTTTTATGTTGTTACTTTACTTTGGTCATTTGTGGATGGAGCTTTTGCAGTTTTGATGTAGGTTATGATAGCCATGAAGCCTGTTCAAACATTGCTCATCCTTGTCACATACATCATGCCTATTAAAACGAGTTGAAAAACTTTACTTGCATCTGTCTTCTCTGGGAATTTCAATCTATTATATAAGCCCAAAAAAAAAAGGGTACTTGCATCAAGATTGGATAATTATTCTAAATGTAACTAAAAAATGAAATGATGCCGTGATGCAGAGACATTTCTGTGATTGCAAAGATAGAAAGTATTGACTCATTGAAGAACTTGGAGGAGATCATTCAAGCATCAGATGGAGCTATGGTGGCCAGAGGAGATCTTGGTGCTCAGATCCCATTGGAACAGGTTCCATCGGAACAGCAAAGAATAGTCCAGTTTTGCAGGCAATTAAATAGGCCCGTTATTGTAGCATCTCAGTTGCTTGAATCTATGATAGAGTACCCTACCCCTACTAGAGCTGAAGTAGCCGATGTTTCCGAAGCAGTTCGCCAGCGGGCTGATGCTTTAATGCTTTCTGGTGAATCTGCCATGGGCCAGTATCCTGAGAAGGCATTGACTGTTCTAAGAAGTGTTAGTCTGAGAATTGAGAAGTGGTGGAGAGAGGAGAAACGCCATGAACCTATGGAACTCCCATGCATAGCTGCTTCTTTTGCGGACAGTATTTCTGAAGAGATATGCAACTCTGCTGCTAAAATGGGTAAGAATATTTTTCTTCATATTCCTCGTGATTAGCAACATAAGTTAATTTGTTTTTCATATTTACTGCCTGAATGAGAGAGAAACCCCAGGCTTCGACCTTTCTATATGGGAGACAAGACCAATGTTTGGACTTCTATATTGATGACTTAACCTGAATGCCATGGATGACATTCAATAAAATAAAAGCACAAAACTGAGCTTTATTTCTTGTACTCTGAGAGAACTAAAGCCAACTAGATCCTTGACAACTATAGTAGAGATCATGTTAATTTTTGCCTGTCCCTTTTCTGACTTGTTCTACTGAAATTGCATCACTTTTACAAACGGGGCCACTTTAGGTCGATTCAAAACATGACCTGACGACCTTAGTCGTCTTTCCCTTAATGTTTCTTCAACTGACACCACTTCTGCTTCTCGGTGTATATCATTATTTCTTATCTTATTCATTTTAGTATGATATAGCAAATGACATAACATGAAAAGTTTGTTTTCCTTTTTTGTCCAAAATAAGATAGGAGGTCTTCGGATCAGAAACTCTTCCCTTTGCAGGTTTTCAGGTTTACACTTTTTTCTGGTTAAAGCTACTAATTCACGTTCTTTATAATGCAGCCAACAATTTGGAGGTGGATGCTATTTTCGTTTACACAAAGGCAGGTCACATGGCGTCTCTTCTATCACGCTGTCGACCTGACTGCCCCATTTTCGCATTCACTACCACTACGTCTGTGCGCAGACGTCTGAACCTGCAGTGGGGTCTCATTCCATTCCGTTTGAGCTTTTCTGATGATATGGAAAGCAACCTCAACAAGACTTTCTCTTTGCTCAAAGCCCGGGGAATGATTAAATCAGGCGACTTAGTAATTGCGGTCTCTGACATGCTGCAATCTATTCAAGTCATGAATGTTCCATGAATGGCATATTTTTAGAACTCTTTCCGCGCGTTACCGTGTCGCTTATCCTTAGAGCATCTCCTTGTAATATGTAGCATCCAGGTCGAGATGTATTTTTCATTTTTCTAATCAAACTCTGTGTGTTGTATTACATATTTAATTATTCCGTCGAATTGGCAAATTTTGTAAGCAACTATCGATGTGTGAATTTATTTTTTTTATTTCCTTTTTTCGGGCTAATCTCCATAAACTCTTGTTACTGATAGCAGCGTGATTTTATATATATATATTTTATAGCTTTGATCGACTCCGTGAAAGGAATTATCTTGTGCATAGTTTGACAAAAGGAGCACATATATTTGACAGATTTGGCATATATCTCTTTGCATTTTCGTCAGGATAACAATGATGAGGTTTATTTAATTACGGGTTATGTACCTGAAATAAATTGCGTGTTGACTAATATGCCTTAGGCTTCTAGTAATGAAATATTTGACTTTTTCCATCAATGTTTTTAGAGGAAATTACAAATAATGTTCATTTTGACGTAATCATTTATAAAAATGTCCAAAATTTTTCAATGTCCAATTTTGCAATAATTTGGACGAGAATACCTTTAAGTAGCTTTCATAAGAAGCTATATTAAAATGATATTCTCGACATTTCAAATGTTATTCTCAATATTTGAATTCGTTTATATTTCAAAAGTACACATGTCAAATCACAATATTAAATGTTCTCAACTTTTCAAACATTGTTCTCGACATATTAAATGTCTAAAATGACATTTCATTTCGAACATGACATTTCTTTATTTTTTAAATGTTGGTCTCGACATTTCTATTTCTAGCATTAATTGTGATTTGACATGTGCAATATGAAATTATTTATTTTTTCATTAAGGGTAAAAGAGAGATTTTGGTATCAAATTTGGCCATTTTTACAAATATTATCAAAAGTGGAAATTTTTTAATTGACATATGTAAAATTGAACATTTTTGCAAATGCCCCATGTTTTTATTGGCATTCAAAGGTTATTAATCATCCAAACTCTTTATTATTGTACTTGAATAAAAATTTATGACATGTTTGCTACGTAGTATTGAAGAATACAGAAAAGATTTTAACTTCATTTTTTACGTTAAGAGCATGTTCAACTTGGATTAAAGAATGACCCTTCATACATTTTTGATCAAATGTTTCCATGTTCCAAAGTTCTCAAATTTCAAATTATTATATGAAATCTCGTCTCTTTAGTTGTCCCACCACTAGAATTTTGATACCACTAAAATTTTGACACCCTAAAATAGTTGTGCGGTGTAAAATTCTTTTGTCAAGACAGTATCACAAGAGTAATAGATCTCGAAACTTTCAAATAGTGAGTTATTTTCTTTCTCCCTTTTTGTTTTGTGTGTGGGGGTGTGGTGGACTTGATGAGAACCCTGAGGAATAAGGTATGTTTGGAACTAGGCCACTTGTAAGTATATTCTTGGAAAATATACCATTCATGACCACAAGCTTTCTTTCTTCTCAACACAATTATCAACATAAAAATACAATCGGGACTCAAACTCTAAGATCGTAATGCAATGGGCCCTTTTTTTTTTTTTTTTTTTTTTTTTTTGAAAAAATGGTTTCAACAAGTGACATGAAAGCATTTATCATATACAGCTGCTTCAGTGAAATCAATTTCATTACCCTCATCAATTGCTAATGCACCCACTTCACAATCTTTGTCATTATATGCAAAGTCCAGTGTCAAAAAATCGTGCATCAGATAAATCAAGACTTGTTTATCCCGAGCATAATCCCATGGACTTATATGTGGTTATCACTCTTGTATTTGTCCTCGTCATACTTGAAGTCTGTTTGAGCCACCTTTTTGCGCAAAATATATTTTGAAGGAAAATGTGTGATTAAAAAAAAGAAAAAATTATAGATTTACGTGTAATATTATTTTATTGTAAAATGTGTGATTGAAATAGGAAAAAGAAAAGGGTAATTGGCACAAAACGTCCTTACCTTTCAAGTCTATTGTGGAAAACGTCCCTACCTTTCATTTTTTGGCATTTTTGCCCTCATTTCAACCTTTCTTTGCGCTGAACGTCCTTCCATCCATATTCCGTTAGTTTTTCCGTTAAACATTCGGGTAATTGGCACAAAACGTCCCTACCTTTCAAGTCTATTGTAAAAAACGCCCCTACCTTTTATTTTTTGACATTTTTGCCCTCATTTCAACCTTTCTTTGCGCTGGACGTCCTTCCGTCCATATTCCGTCAGTTTTTCCGTTAATTAAATACAAAAATACCTTTTTCTTTCCATAAACAATGGTAAAATTGTCCTCACCCACTTCACCCCCTTTTCCCGCCATCAACTTAGTCCATAAGTAACAGTAGCAGCGACATGAATCTGAAAATACTTTAAATGATTAAGTTAAATAAAGAAAAAATATCGTGAACACATTATATTTCACAATTCCACAACTACTGTTGCTATCATCTTGTGTCACTGGAAAAATTTAGAAAGACATATTAAATGGGTAGTCAATTTATAATGAACCAAAATGGTGAATGGCTCTTTTTGGCTCAATGGAGAAGATGAATGGCTCATTTTAAATTGACTCATTATAAATTGACTACCCATTTAATATGTCTTTCTAAATTTTTCCAGTGACACAAGATGATAGCAACAGTAGTTGTGGAATTGTGAAATATAATGTGTTCACGATATTTTTTCTTTATTTAACTTAATCATCTAAAGTATTCAGATTCATGTTGCTTCTACTGTTACTTATGGACTAAGTTGATGGCGGGAAAAAGGGGTGAAGTGGGTGAGGACAATTTTACCCTTGTTTATGGAAAGAAAAAGGTATTTTTGTATTTAATTAACGGAAAAACTGACGGAATATGGACGGAAGGACGTCCAGCGCAAAGAAAAGTTGAAATGAGAGCAAAAATGCCAAAAAATGAAAGGTAGGGACGTTTTCCACAATAGACTTGAAAAGTAGGGACGTTTTGTGCCAATTACCAGAATGTTTAACGGAAAAACTGACGGAATATGGACGGAAGGACGTCCAGCGCAAAGAAAGGTTGAAATGAGGGCAAAAATGCCAAAAAATGAAAGATAGGGACGTTTTCCACAATAGACTTGAAAGGTAGGGACGTTTTGTGCCAATTACCCTTTTGGTTTTTATCGTTTTCCTTATATCGAGCAAGTCATTAAAAATGAAGCTACGATTTGACTAATTAATAAACATGTAATTGAAATTTTAGTCGCCACCATAGTATTGAGATATAATGAATATTGCATAATTTGAAAAGATTATGATTTTTAGAGTTGACATTACTTTCTAGCAAGTCGCTAAAGTTGAAAATATGATTTGTGAACAAATTTAATTGAGAGTTTGATTGCCTCAACAAGTACTGAGATGTAGAAAAATATTACCATAATCTTCCATGTATTATGGTCTTTGTCTTAGACCTTATATTTGAGCAAGTCACTAAAATTGAAACTACGTTTGATGAACAAATATGTAATTGAGATTATAGTTGCTTCAATAATTATTGGGATATAATGAATGAGTTCTTTTCTTATTATTATTATTTTTAAATGACACTTTTCATAATCCATTGTTTTGTTTCTTTTAAAACCTTTAGAAGTAATTTTATTTTCCTTTAAAAATTTTACCATTATCTTCCCTAGATTATGATTTTTCAATAAATGAATGAAAAAATTGGTTACGTAGAAAGGAAGGACGGGTTTGTTTATTGTGAATATCACTAAAGCTTTGGTCTTGTTTCTTCTTCTTTCTAACACCGTTCCTCTTGGCCAAACCCATGCAATGATTTTAATTTCATTTCCTTCTTTTTTTTTTCTTTTTTTACTATACAAAAAAGATGAAAGATACAACATGATCTAATATATAAAAAAAAAAAATCTCTATTAACGAAATTTATAAGAAAATTATGATCATTCACCATTAATCCTCCTGTGCTAAACTTGTGCGATAGTTTTAGTTTGATCTTCATCTTTAACTCTACAAAAGAGATGAAATATACAACTTCTCCTAGCATGATTCAATATAAAAAAAATCAAGTTATAAAGTCGATATAATAAACTAATTAATCATCATTCTCTTGTGATAACCTATGTGATGGTTTTAATTTCGCCTTTATTTTTAACTCCACAAAAGATATTAGAGATATAACTACTTCTCATAGCATGATCCAATATGAAAATGTCCACAGTTATGATGTCCGTTGCATATTCTTCTCAAGATATATTAAAAATTGAAGATTTAAATTATCGTATTAATCTTTTCATGACGGTTGTAATCTTGTGAGGTACATGTATCAAGAACTTTATTGTATCCTTTCCAGATGGTTGTAATCTTATGTGATACATGTAATCGTGAATTTTGTTGTGTCAATAAGCATTGAGATATAGCAAATATTACCATAATCTTCCTTAGATTATGTTGTTTGCCGAGCAAGATGGTAGTAATCTAAATGATTTATGTAATAGAGAATTTTGTATTGAGATATAATGAATATTACAATACTATATTTTTGTTTTTATCGTTGTCATTATATCAGAGCAAGTCACTAAAAACGAAGCTACGGTTTGATTAGTTACAAACATGTAATTGAGATTTTATTTGCCACTATAGCATCGTGATATAGAAGACATTGTCGTTTTTACCACTAAAATTATTTCCGAGTCACTAAATTTGAAAATACGGTTTGCAAACATGTAATGAGATTTTAATTGCCTCAATAAGTATTGAAATATAAAAAAGCATTACCATGATCTTTCATGTATCACGGGTTTTTTTTTTTTATCGTTGCCTTGTATTCGAGCAAGTCACTAGAATTGAAAGTAAGATTTGACGAACAAACATATAATTGTATTTATAGTTGCTTCACGTTGAGAATGATTCTGATATAGTTCATGGCCTATTAGAAGTAAAAGGTTCTTTGGTAGGATCTTACAGACAGAAACAAATTGCAGTCAGTTTGATAATGATCGAGTGACATTGCTTCTTCAGCCCAAACCGAGAAATCCCTTAAATGTGATGCAAAACAGATTTTGTTCTATATTTGATCAGAAATTTCTTTATGAAATACGAATCAAAGTTTGAAGAAAGGGAGGGAGAAGGAGCCCTTGACCCGCAACAGATAGAGGAGGCTTATTTTTAGATAGTGAATGGGGTTCTTTCTTCCATTCTATCCTATTTACTAGT